GGGGAGAGAGAGAGAGAGAGAGTTTTAGTATTTATGACTATAATTACATGTTACCATAATTATAATTATTATGGTTATTGCTAATAATAATTATATGTACAGTTCTATCAACAAATATACATATATAGCTGACAATTGAAAATTATATAATTATAGTTATTATTACCATAAAAACGGTTACAATTATTATAATTTTATTATACTTTTTATAGCCATTTTTTGGGCCAATCATATTTTATATGGTCATCCCAAAAATAATTTACAGTTAAATTAAAATAAATACAACTATTTATATGATAATAATAATTATAATTGTAGCAATTTCGATTGTGAACTATTTATTGATAGAAATGTGTAGTTATTATTAACATTACAACAGTAAGAATAATAATTATAGTGATATGTAATATAATTATTGTCACGAATATCAATAACTTTTCTCTCAGTACAACTTCGTAGAAATGTCTATTCCTATTACGTCTATGGGTAGACCTATGTAAGAAAATTTGCAAAAAATATGAGGAAGAGATTGTACGAAAGAATGAAACCGCCGACGCTTCGTTTAACAAAGCTCGTTTGGTTGAGCAAATTACTATAATTATTTATTGAATCAGTGATTACGAATTAGTTGATTCAATGTTACGATTCAATAAACGCAATACGAATTATTATAAATATTACAATCGTTTCTCTCTCGTTATATTTGAGTCCAAGCGCTGCCTACGCTGCATCATGTTACACTTTTAGCAATATTTTAATTAGGTGCTACATATCGCGATATAAAGTTTTGTAATATTTGATACATATTCTAGCTGACTTATGTATTACTATAGAAAACAGTTATAATTTTAGAATAATGTTCGTAACGATTACCCTAACAACATTCCTAACAGCATCGTGTTGAGAAATCGCGTGGTGTAAACGGCCCTTCAGTCTCTCCTCTCTGCGTGCTCACGAAATGCTACTCGCGATTCGTTGTGCTCGAAATTGTTCCTCGCGTCGCGCGATTTATTTCCTCGTCCTGTTTCCCGTCGCGTGCATCCCGAGGATCACACAATTGTATCACAATTCTTTCCCGTCCATGTGCGTTTTCGTTCTCCGCTGGGCGCCGTAGACTTATTTACGTTCTTGCGAAATGATTGTCGGCAATGATCGATAATCACCTGAAACCGTCCTCGGGAAAAACGAATTCGCAATGATTTTCGGGTTTGATTTGATTTGCTCGATGGACTCTCTTCCCGCGCCGGTGGATCGCCGATGGTCGGTGCGCGATTTATGGTCGTCCGTGAGATTCTGGAGCGATCGACGATCTCGATCGGCACGCGATCGACTATCGTCGACGATCCATTTTGCACATCTGCTTGATGAATACACCGTCGCTGCCTCATGTAAGCAGTTCATCAGTGAATGTGTATATGCATGTGTGTGTGTGTGTGTGTGTGTGTGTGTTTCTGCATGTGTGTATGTGTGTTTCTGCATGTGTGCGTGTTGTGTATGCGTGCAAGCGTGCTATGACACTGTTTAGCCGATGACAGTTCACTCGTGTACCAAACAGCTATTGGATGTATTAAGTCCCATGCCACGTTTATGTTTACATATTTATATCTGACTATTTAATCGGAACACTTCGACGTTATTCATTACTTCTGTGTATCATTTTTGGCGTCTTTTGAACGATTACATATCACTCTGTCATTCCGTACAGCTTCGTTAAATGAGGCAGGGAGAGCGGGCGGGAACGGGGATGTTTGCCACGACCTATGACGACTGTAATTTAATGTTACGCTTTACTAAAATTATTTTGCTAAATACGCGAAATTTTATGTATGTTATACTGCAATTAATTCTACATTAGCAGCTATAAGAAGAAAAAAATGATATCTTTTGGGAAAACAAAAATTAATTATTCATTTAAATATTACAAGACATTCCTGAATTAACATTAACCATTCACCTGCCCATTACGACGTTAAGGAGTCTTATAATATTTATTTATTTATTTTATGTCTATATATCATGAATTTCCTCTGAGATTAGTACCATTAATCTTGAAGTGCAATGTAAGCCTTCTACAGGTAGTAATGACTGTAATGATAAAATATGAATGAAGTTTTTAAATACGAGATCAAAAAGTAACGTCGATGGAATAAACAAGGTAGAAGATCAATTGCAATAATCCGTTTGCACAAATAAAACATCGATCAATATAGTCCACATATAATATGCAACAACAAGCGGATCTGGGAATCGGTTCGGTAATTAGTCGCGCGCGATTAAAAGATTCGCCCAACGAAGTTACGTTAATGAGGCCTTCGGAGGATTTCCGGCACCCGGCTCAAGGATTAATTATTTAATTAGCTTGAGGTCACAAGTTTCCTTTTATACTCCCAGCGATAGCAACGATTCCGGATTATCGACTTACAAATATTACGCTCTTATATGCGATCGACGAATTGAAACTTATTATACTTCTTCCATTTATTACTTTCTTCTCAAATAAAATACTTTCTTGATAAAAAACAAATAGGACAAACTATAGCAAATATAAAATTGATTTTATACTAGAAATATAATTACTTTGTGAAAATTTTTATTTCATATATAGAATCTTTAAGCCATCGCAGTCAGATTCAGATCTTTGACTTTGTCTCTTCACCGACAAACAATATTACAGATACTCTCATAGTAAAAAATGTCACACATGTGTGATAATCATGGATAAATTGTGATATAACTGTGAGATTAAAAAAAGTTACAGTAACATCACATCTTATCTTGATCTGTATACGTCATAGCAATGTCACAGTGAGGCGCAACTTTTATCACAGCTGCTAACGATTCATAGCAATATCACACCTGTGACAAAGGGGACATTCGCACGTCACCATGACTTTGCTATGACATTATACTTGTGACAAAGCAGACCTTTACATATCATTCTGACTTTGTTGTGATATTGTGATTTTTAGCGAAAAATGGAATGAAAATGATGACTGTTAGAAAAGGACGAAAGAAAAGGCGGTTTGGAAAGCTTGGTAACGTTAAATCACAGTCGTCGAAAGGTTTGACAGCGCGAAGTCGAGCAACGAGACTATGCGATCCACCGAGATATAAATCGTCGTCGCGGTAGGCATGGCCCCCATAATATGTATACATCGATCGCTCTCGCAGCGCTCGATCACGATCCACGACGGATTCACCGAGGTCCTCGAGGACTCGAGTACGCGTGACTATGTCGGAAAGCAGGGGTGGTCCAACTTGGCAGTTTTCTTTTTTTCTTTTTTTATTTCTTTACCGCAATTTGCTCGCTTTCGTCACGTTCGCCTTTCTTTCTGTGTGTACGTGCTCGCTCGTTGGGTACGCTGTATACTCGTGCGGCTCGTACGATCCGGACGAATGAGCGGCCGATCGATCGATCGACCCTCTTCCGCCGATCGGCTGAATATAAGCGACGCGTCGACCACTCTCTTGTGCGCTTGTATATTTCTCGTGTGTACGACACACATACACACATACACACATACACACACACACATACACACACACACACCCATACACACACATACACCACATACGCATACATTCACGCACGTACACATACACACACGCGCGCACACAACACACAAACACACGTGCACAGCGTAATAATACGCGGTGCGAAAATATCTGGCGGGTTTTGCGGAAATGCGGGGATAGGGATCGTTTGTGGTTTCGCGTACGTCAGCTTTCGAGCACGTGATAATAAGAGGGTTTTATTGGAGAGGGAACGTGGAAAAATATATCGAGCGTATGGAAGGTCGATCGCGCGATCGTTGATGGCGTAAGTTTCGTTCATGCTTCGGTTGGGTTCGGCTTTTCTAGAGAGATGTGCCGCTAAATCGCGTCCGTTACCCGGGGATAGTGCACGAGGGAAGAAGGAAATATTCGTCGAACGAAACAGACGAGTTCACCCTTATGAGACGGGCTCTTGCCATTGGTCGTAGTAACTGCGCGCGCGCGTTCACCCTGTCGATCGTCCAAGCCGCACTTTTACTTTCCTACCGTTTGAAAAGGTTGAACACCCCTGACTCGAGTTTGCTATTTGGCAGTAAACATTTTTAAGTCCGTCTCGGCTCCCTACGAGAGACCCTCAACAGATCGCAGAGTTAATTAATTACGACTCGGTCGTAACGCGCGTGCGTGCGTGCGTGCGTGCATGCGCGCGCGCGCAAAGCGACTAACAGTAATTATCGTTAATTATTATTCTCATTATTATAAGAAATATCGTTATTGTTTCTATTATCGAAAGGCCGCAACAACGCTTTTCCGAGGACTGCGCGATCTCCTTTGTCTCGTGACGCCGTCGACTTGTCGCGCGTTCCTTCCTCGCGAAATCGCATTGGTCGTCGAATGAAATCGATCGCCGATCGCCAAATGACAGTTACGGCGATCGCCGGTCGATATCGCGATCGATAAGAGCTCGCGAAATGTAATTGGATCCGCTCCTTCGTCTACGAACTAGAGGCATCCCTCTAAATCTCCATCCAGTTCGCGTCGCGCGACTATCTTACCGGTTCCGCACTAGAAACGTTAATTAAGTCACTTAAACGAAATAACGCAGTCGTAACGGAGCGTGACGTCGGCGATCGGATCCTTGTTCCCATTCCTTTTGTATTCTCTCCTCTTGAATCCGGAAACGTTTCCCAGGCGTGTTGTTCTCCGCTAAAAAAAATTACAACGGCGTTCGCCGTCGAGCTGCCGCTTGCCGGAAGTCCATCCTCCTCATGCAGGCTTTTTCTGCGAACGTCGTCAATGGTCTCACTCTTGCTTGCCTCCTTTCGCGTCTAAGCGAAAGCACGTCGCGAAACGGAACCGGGCGCACAAACCGGCGGTGATTCCCAGTTGTGAGAAATTCGAGAACGCGAGATCGTGTTTCCTTGTTCCCTCGAGAGAGGTGAGTCGCGCAGAAGGGCGTGAAAGGGGCTAACGTGTCCATTTCTATCTTTTTCTTTGCGCTTTTCCCGTTTTCACTTCGACGTGCTCCTAACGTAGCCGCCTCCTCGAATCATGCCGGACGTCGTTCCTGCGAAAATGAGAGAAGGAAGCATGAGTGTACCGCGATATGTCCGACTATTGACTTTTGAGAGATTGACTTTATGGGTGAGGGATTTTCCGAGATGTTGTACCGATCGATTTTTGCGAGCTTACTTTGCCATTAAGACCAACCAGGCTTTTAGTTCCAGCAATTCTAAAGCTCGAGGTATGAACTTTCAACTTTTTGAGATCTCTCTAATATATTCTAATAACTTTAAAATCTTCAACTGTGGTAAACGCTGTGCAGTTAAACTCGGGAAGATTAAGAGAAATATTGAAGAAGAGTAATCAGACCGGAAATTTTCTAGATCAGTAAAAAAAAAAGCAAAAATATCAAAATTTAATCTTATATATAATTTTTTTCATTTACTGGGAACATTTTTCTAAACATTTTTTAATATAAAAAACTGTGCAAGGGAACCGATGAGCAAGAACTCATTAACATTCTTCTCTTTTTCGGCGTTATAATTATATAATTTAAACAATGAATTTTCCTCTACGTAGATTGTTATCTCATGTATGTTAAAACTCTCGTAATTTAATAGATAATTAAGTGAACAATAAGTATTCTTTTGTACACTAATCACATTTAGTTCGAAGCTATTAGATCGCGCTATTCAAAGGCAATTTTCGATAATCAAGCACCGAGTGACCGAGTACTTGAAATCATGTAATCAAATGGTTATATATCCAGGTTAATGCATAAATAATTGTGCTCCGGAGTGCGCTACGAAGGGACCGACTAGCAATTAGTGCGACGAAATTGCGAGTAGAGACATTCGCGTTGCCACGATTGAATATTTTCAGCGCGCGCGACGGCCAATGAGCCCAGCTTGTTACATGGGGCTTGTTAACATTTCCACGCAGTATTAACTGTGTTATGGTCATCTGGCTCACGTCATTCGCACATAATGATCATAGCTTATCTGATCCGCGCGATGTGAAATTAACATGTCGATTTCGGTCTCTCGAGCAAATACCTAGCGGTGATGCTCGATCAAGCGAAATCGTGATTTTCGAGCAATCTCAACGGCAATTTTGGCATAAAAAAGCTATGTGCAAAGCTATATGCAATCATAGAGACAATTATTTATATGATAAACTATATAATATAAAATTTATTCTTACCGAATATTCCAGGAGGCGCTATCCCTGGCATATTTTGTGTATTTTTTCGGTTCGACCGGGGCAGTCTATTACTGGACGATTATATGTGGCGCGCGACACAGTATCACCACCGTAGCCAAAACCGTGAATAACGTGAAGACGAACAGACAAAGCCTTGATTTTATAGGAGAGAAATTTGAATATTAGTTTCACAAGTCGAATGTTTCAATAATAGATTAAATAAATAATGAAGAGAATATATAATAAGAGGTAATAGAAAAAGAGGGAATATATAATAAGGTAATTAGAAGTAATTATTAAATTAATTAATTATAAAAAATGGAATTAATTAAGTTACTGAAAGAAAGTTATTTTAAGGCTCGTTTTTATAATATATTTTTAGGTTATTTAAAGATTAAAGGTTACTAAAAGATTCATTAATAAAATTCATTCATGAATTTCTTGGTAATCTTTAATCCTTAAGTAATCATATGTAAATCAGTGAAAAATCTAAACTTCATTACAAGTAATGAGTTACTTTCCAACCTTATAGATATACCAATTATAAATTTCTTATAATTGAAATTACTGAGCAAATAAATTTCTCCGTTTGACCTCATATGATAAGTGAAGTCCAAGTAAATGAAATTATTGAGCAGAAAAATTTTGAATAGTTAAAACAAATAAAAGTTTGAAATAATCACGTAATGGATTCGTCCGACGAATCGGCGATCCGGCACTTAAATGACAAGTTTTTCATTGTGCGAGGAAAAAAACAAGGATCTGAATTTCGAACGCCAATATAAAAGCTTCTTTGTTCGCGATTTTCCACCAGAGATTCGTCGGACGCCATGTGCGCACGACTGAACTGAAGCCACATGAAAGATTTAAAACATCCAACCTGTCGACCACCATGGCGGCGAACTTCCAGTCGCTAATGATTTCGTCGTCCTCGTCCGACTTTTTCATGCGGCTTGTGATGAACTGCAATTCCTTGAGAATTGTGTGAAGTTCCCTCTGCATGCCGCTGAGAGGCAACGATGCCGAAGTCTCTTCAACCGTTGCCGGCCTGGTCGACAACGGTGTACCGTACGCTGATCTGCTGTAAAATATCATATAAACTATTACTCTTAAAAGTATCACATGTTTTTTCTCAAGATCATCAACAGACATTTCGCATAGATCGTCGGAGAATTCATGAAATTCCAGTTCTTCATATTACAGTTGTTATAATTATTAAACAGTCTATCTCAGTACATAACATAATGCAAAGTTTATATGAAGTTACATACCATAAATGTTAAAGTTCTACATTTGAAATGATTTATAAATTGTTAGGGTAATTTACAATTGAGATTCACATTGCTTATGAGCGTGGAAATTTTTTTCTTTAACGAAATTTTAATTCCGAACTATGTACAAAATATTCCGTAAATACTGACATAACCAGGAAGGGAATAATTCTGCTTGAAAAAAATAAATCGAAAACTTAGAAAAATACAATTTTTCCATATGAAGCTTTGTTTTCGGGAAAATCATTTGTAAATATTTGCTAGGTACGATTTAATGGATCTAACTGCAAACTATTATTTCTCTCTCTCTACTCATATTTATTATATTGGTAATTAAGAATAACAATAAAACAGCACAATGAATTTTATTACATAAATTGTTGAATATATTGCTTGAAAATAAAGAAATTATTTCGAAAAATTGTATTCTACGTTTTAGATTACATATGTTAATAGAATCTCTCCCTATGATTGTATCCCTATTTACAGAACATCTTTATATATACATATATATATATATATATATATTTATTTATTGTATATATTGCTTTGAAAACTTTTATTTTATACTATTTTATATAGTCAATTCAATGCTTACAGAAGAGTCTAAAATAAATAGTTTCTTCCTTGCGTGAGTTTTTTTTGCAAGATTATTTCATAATCAAAAGTCTAACAAATATCTCAATATTTTTTTAACTCCACTTAATCGATATTCGCTTCGAAATTTCCTTAACTACATTCGCTGGTACAATACTTTAAATACTTTAATATATCTTTGCTTAAAGTTAACGTAATTGAATAATTTTTTTTTAATTGTGAAAGTCCAAATTCGAGGAATAAGATTATGTAACTCAAAATTATGTAAGGTTGTGAAAAACATTTGTTATAAACAATTTCTCACAACGTGTAGTTAAAGAAAACGTTCATTGAATTTGTGAATAAAGAATTTGAAAATATTAAAATTATCACAGTGCATATGCATTTGAATTGGACCACTATACGTCACAAAACTCGGTTATCGGATAGTTCCACGACGTGACAGAGAAGCGAAGAAGAGATGGAGGAGAAAACGAATTGTCCAGAGAATCATCTGGCAAACCAAAGCGATTATTGAAGGATCGAGAAAAAAAATGTTGGAATGAAATATTTTTGTTAACGGTTCACGGAAATCAGTCGGGGAAGAAAAAAAGCCGCAAAAATCTCATGAGAAAATATGAGAATCCGAGTTTGGTAGATTGAGTTGGTATTTATCGAGGTCCATGAAAATGTCGATATTCGATTCCAGCGACACAGTCGTTCAAGCGAATTTCGGACGGGTAGATCTCTTGTCTGCTTATAATTATCACAGAACAAACGTGACGTATACCGTTCTCTAATCATTTTATGTGCGTAACTGTGTCTTCGATTTTTCCCGATAGAATTATAAAATAACGTTAAGTTGGTCGAACATACGACAAGGGGTGAGATCCATTTAACACTGCAAATGCATTCTTTGATTGGTTAATTCGTAAAATTCATTCTTGTGATTGGTCAACGAAGCATTTCCAACGTTAGTGGATCGCACTCAAGATATTTACTCAGAAACACGTGTCTACGCATCTTGATGTGCTCTCGTTGCCGTCCATCTGATCATTCACAATATTATTATATGCGTTGACGCCCAGTTTTTTCTTTCTCTTTCTCTTTCTCTCTCTCTCTCTCTCTCTCTCTCTCTCTCTCTCTCTCATTGTTTTTTCGTCCAATGGGATTAAAACGTGACATGGTCTCTGTTTCTCATGAACAATACATTTGCCCGTCAAACAACAACCGCTCCATTGTTAATAAAAAAAGGAGCGCAATTGATCGAGAAAATGGATGGCAAGCTATCGCGGAATTTTCGCCAAACGTAACGACCTGAAAAGATTGAATGGATGGAGAATTCGTGGTACCTTATATAGCCCGAGGCAGGATTGGCGGCGCTGTTCCCATGGCGAAAATCATCGTCGATATCTAAAACGTTCGCCAGTAAACTCTTACTGCTCCTCTCCTGCAGCTCCAGCTCCTTCATCCGATTACTCATGAGAATGGTTTTCTTCGTGATCTTCTTGCCCGGCCGACTCATGCGCAACACACACGGCAGCCATTGTAGAAACACTATTTTCGTCTGCGTGAATATCGAATTATTGACTCGTTAAACTTTACAATTGCATCACATATCATATCGTCACTCTAGCAAAAATTCCTCGCAATTTCATTCCCTTGAATCTTGCAACGAGAACGAAAAACCGAAATTGAAGAGTATAGAATTTTAAAGTGGCATTTCCGCGCGTCATATGCAAAGTTTAATATTTTTCAAGGATTTACAATATGTAATTTATAAGCCACGAACACTTTACGATAAGCATTATTCTAAGGAATAACGAATATACTTCCCCTATTTAGAAAATTTCTAAAATAAAAATTACGAAAAATTCAAAGTCATATTTTTAGTTATATTCCACAATTAGATTTTAAAATAATTTATTTTAGTGTAACACAATGGCTTTTTCAATAATTATACGTGAAATGCATATTTAACTCTTTATTTAATCCTTTGTGTTGAACTACTTCTTTTAGGGAGTTATGCCCTTTTATTTTGCAAACAATTGGCCTAATTTTTATGAAATTTGGTCCATAGCATAATTTAATAATACTTCATTTAATTCTATGATTAAAAATAAAAATATTAGATTCAATATGGCGGCAGAATTTAAAATATAATTTGATTATTATAAAACTCGATTTTAGGAATTTTTAATTGAGAAATATACAGGGTTGGCCATATTCGACGGAAAAATGTTTTTTTTTTCAATCATCGTCGATGATCGTCGTTACTCGATCTAACATCTCTTTCCCATGATTGAAAAAAAAAACATCTTTCCGTCGAATATGGCCAACCCTGTATATACAGGTATATAAAAAAATCAAGTTTCCAGTTTCGCTTTATTTGAAATCCATTATTGCTACATAAATAATTAATATTAATTTCTAAGTCAATTTTTAAACCTTGATTATGAATCTTGTGACATTAGAATCCTTCATGGAGGTTATTACTCTTTCGGAATTCGGCGTTTTTAGACTATTTTAATTCATTCAAACTCAAGCAATACCAAGAACCTCTTAAAATTCGAGTTTTACGATAATCAGTTTTTTAAAATATGAATTAATTTTTTGAAATTTAATTTTTTTTACATTCTGAGGCCAGAATCAAATTTAACAAATCTCGAAAACAAGTCCGTAAATTACTTTGTTAGGAAGCTCTAGACTTTGAGATCATGACAACATTAAAAAATACATAAACACAAATTCATAAATAAAGTATTTACTCAATAATTTTAATTTTAACTTCTTTTATATCTAAATTCGAAGCCGAGTCGCATGTTATTTCTTTAGTGAAATAATAAATCAAATGCTATGCAATGCATATTATATATTGACATACATATGTAAATATATACGCTGTAGGAGTTTTGTAAATGCAATGTACTTGTTTGAATTCAGAGTATCCAAATAATCTATATATGTGTAGGCTTGCATGAAGAAACTTGCATTAACTGACTGGCATTGGTCGAGAGTAAGTACCAACACCTCGAAGGCATTTTAAACTTCCAAGAAGCACTGTTCGGTGGTAATAATAATCACATCGCGAAGCTATCGTGCAACGTATTATTATCCATTACACGAAATATTTTTTGCGTGCAATAATTTGAACTGTTTCGCATTATTTAGAGTTCGCGAATTAATTGCACCTGATTTATTTAAAAAAATTAAATTTGTTAAACACAATTTCCACTTGCTCCAAATAATGCAATTAGAAATATTAAGATATGATTTTATCATTTCATTATAATTATCTAAATATTTCGTTGAAAATAATGAATTAAAAAAAAATGAATCTGAAATATGCTTAGACGACCACATTTTATTAATGCGATTACGTTGCACAATTTCAAAATTGCTGTGTTTATTCAATTATAGAAGGCAATTAAATTTATAACAATTTATAATGCCACTATAACAATGACGAAAGCAATCTTGTTTAATCCGTTTAGTTAAGCAGCTTATTTCTATTGTATCAATTATATGTATATGCCTAAAATGATTAACCTTTATTCGAATGAAATATTTAACTATACGATCGATCAAAACATTCTTTTAGAGCAAATCAAAAAGCTTCTACTATACATAAGTTTAATTAATTTTCTTTCTAATTATTGTATGATACATAATCTGCTCTACTACGCTAACTATGTAACTATAATGATTATATTCATCAATGTTTATTAGTGTTTATTTATTTATTAATGTTTATTTAATTATTAGAATTATTTGCTCCATTCAAAATTACTTTGGTGACAAATTACCATTGTTTATTTCAACATTGCGTCATTAATATTACACGCTACATTTATTGCATTTATATTTAATACTGTTATTCATCATTAATTAGACTTAATGCCATCACTAATTAGAGTTAACTATATCTCTGATACAGTCAGTTGAATTTTATTATGTTTTCTTACCCAATTTGGCATCACGTATCTGTCGGGCGATCTGTGATGATAGTTGAGCACCAGAACGGTCAGCACGACGCTGCTCGCCACCATGAACATGATGCAATTGAAGTATGATCCTGAATCGAGGTGTTCACGAAAATCCCCCGAAGAAAGAATACAGAAAGAAGGCGATTAGTCACGGAAATAACGTGGAGCGAGACGCTGTTAGCAGCTCTCTCGTTGAAAATGAAAGATTATTCTCCTGGATTCTTTTAGCTCAGCTCAGATCGTAATCGTCTCCATCTCGTGAACCTTCTTACTTGATATCTCTAGCTCCATTTTTGCTCGACATACATATTTAATAATCTTTCATTCGTTTATACGAGTGCTCGCGCGTTTCCGATGCGCGTGAAGAGACTCAAAAATTCAGACGTGAGAATGTTCGCGTCTGAAATATTTTAACGTTAAGCGCGCTTTCCAAAGAATAATGACGATGAAGAATTCCATTCTTTAGATGTAATTTTTACGGATTTCTTGATATTATATTTATCGAACAAGAGTCCGCTTTTAATTCGTTTAAGTCTTGCACTTTGCACAGTTACGCCTTCTTTTCTACTTTCTACAATCTCACATCGGGTGCTTTAATTCTTTTTATTTCTGTCCCCTGTCGGAACTTTCACTGGAATGCCTTCACCGATTTCTCTATACTGTAGCAAATAAATACAGTAAGTAACATACACGGAACATTCTTCAGACGCGACGAGAATTCGAGCCTCTCCACGCGAGTGCAAACATACACTCAATAGTGACACACTCGCAGTCACAACATACGACGGTTCAGTAGCATCCGAATGGACCTGTCACGGAATAGACTCACACTCGAGGCGAAAGTTGAGAAAGAAATAATAGACAAGCGAAACAAGCGTATTATTATTCGGTAATACAATAATCGGGACAGGTAACACAGCTAAAGATAAAAGCACACATACATAGCATATACTACATCTAGTAACAAAAATATCTACATGAAAATGTCTACGAGATATTCTTCGGATGTTCCCTTAAGTTCATGTTACACTACGCATTGGAGATTGAGGCTTGAATTGAAGATTAGAATTCAGCTAATCAGAGCGAAACCGATTAAAGTTAAAATTGTCTGACTGGTCGAATTCTAATCTATAATTCGCAATTCTTACTTTCTAATGCGTAGTGCGACATTTGCTTTACAGGTTTTTCACAGTTTTATGTAGTTTTGACACAGGCAATAGAAAAATGTCTATAGGATGTATTGTAAAGATATCCGAAGGACGTTCTAATTTTTTTTTTAAACGTTCTTTAGATATCTCTCAGTTTATTTCGTGAGATTTACGTTTAAGGTTTCACTCATCTAACGGGGCTAACATCTCCAGAATTTCTACGGGATACATCAATACGCGTAACCCAGTTCACCTGCTGAAGTTACGCTGAAGTCAGCAGTTCTCATTTCGCCAGAATAGTGAAGGTAACTTACGTACGTTAGTTTTCTGGTGTTAGATAAGCGAAAATAAGAAAATTGAAAATAGAATGTACTTACTTGAGCGCGAAGTATAGGCGTGTACGAAAAGGAAGAGGCAATGGTGTGTTACGCAGAGAAATTGACGGAGAGAACACTTACATTATCATGCAACTATCGAAAATGCAATTTTACCGAAAATGCACACAAAAGCCTTCTGTAATTCTCTGAAGTTTGTTATCAGCGAATCTAATAACACTTAAACGTAGAAGTACATAGGATGCATATCGTGAGAACGTTTAAGCTGCGATTAAAACTACGCACTACAATCGGATTAGGATGTAGTTCATCTCTTGACTTTTATTTTCGACGCGGTCGTCTTTGTCTCTTTCAGAAACTTAATACTGTAAGTTGATGATTAATTATTTATTTTGAGTGTTAGAAACGCTGTTGTGTTTAGTGCTTTTAATACTCAAAACAAGTTTTCAGTATTAAATTACATTTCTGCAAAGGGATGTCATCACGATTAACATAGAATTCCTTAAGAAAGTTGTCTTGGAGCGTTGAGACTCTACTGTCGAAGTTTACTTCGATCGCAAGTGGTAGTATACATGCATCGGATAATGATTAATACATAGTTAGTTTTATTTTTGTATTACTCTTATATTACTTATAGCGATTACCATTTTGAGAAGATTATCTTCTCCCTGTCGTGACGAAAATAATCAGCCCTATCAACGCACATTTGCTGTGTAACGTTCAAATCGAGCTTAAAAATCTCCTCAACCGATTAATGTCTCGTTAAACGTACGAGTCTTAAAATATATCGGCGCCATGCTGTAAAACATTTTAATATCCCATTTTATCTCGGGTTACCTTTTTTTTTACAGATAAATAACTAAGCCTATTATGAGCAGGGCAACGTCATATCGCGAAACGTTTCTCGCAAATTAAAGATTTTCGAGCGGTAAGTTTTCATTTACTTCGCCTTGGCTGCGCACGGACAGTCGAATATTTATCCCCCTTCCTGCGACTGCGAAAATTCGCTCGTAACTCTAATTACGTACTAATTTTCCTAATTTTCCTGCTAAATTATTGGATCGCCGTAGCTCGGTGAATGTATCCGGAAATACTGTATCAAAGCAGAGACTCGCAAATGATTCCGAGTCGAGGCGCGCGTGAAAATAAAAAGAAGGAACGGGAGAGCTTCAAGTGACGATGAATAAAATGCTAAAAGCGTTGCCTTTTTAACTTCTCGTGTTATCTCAGCGGCTATGTTTAACCGGGTCCATAAAGCCCGGCACGAGCATCTTCAGGCTGATTAATTGCCGTGTACGAAAGCGGTTATCTCTTCTCCTGCTTTTATTAATGGATCCTTAAGACTCGTCTGCCATTACGTGTCAGCTATATATTTATGACGTTTCGAATTACTTAATCCTTCCATTGATCGTTCGGTGGCGATCTATCATGAAAGTAAAATCGCTTGATTGATTCACAGGAACGGAAACTAGTCGAGATGTACGGAATTACCAACTTTAAAGGCAAAGGAATATCTTTATCTAACAGTGATATGTTATCTTCATCTAAAAAAGATAAATCATTTTCTAGAATTCAGCACGAAGAGATGCAAGATATTTTCTGCTTGATACCATTTTCTCTAACTAACTAATTTCGTTAAATTTGATTCGTTAGGGAAATCTCTCTCTCTCTCTCTCTCTCTCTCTCTCTCTCTCACATTGATTATATTGATGGAAACATTCTATTTTTAACAAATTTGTTTTTCATGGATATTAGATCAAACAACGCATTTCTCCCGAATTAAACATGACACGGCGCGGCGGTTTTCGCATTAATACAACATGAAAAGAATAGCAAAATTGCCGGAACGTGCAACGTCATAGCTAGCGATATTTACTTCAAATATTTGTTTCGTATGCACGTGGGCAAATATGCATTGAGATAACGGACAAAAATTATGTGCAATTACGAAGCGTGAAAAGCATTTCATTTCTAGCTTTATTAGCAGGCTTTATTAACAGAATCATCCGGTTGTTCGATTTGGTTGTGGCAGGTCTGAAAAATCTTTGTAAAATACAATATATATTCTGACTTCAGCTTAATATACGCTTTATTTTAGCCGTCATATGCTCCAATTTAATTATATCCGATGAAATAGCTGACGTCGTCAAATTTTCAACTGACAGATAGGTCGTAATTTAAATTATTCCAACAAATTAATTAGTTATTACATGCGTTGCAACGCCGGATGGGTTAATGTGATGATTAATGCAGAATTTATGATCATTGTATTGAATGACGATGTTCCTCCGTTATATGAGATTATTTGGTGAGAAAATAAAAAAATAATGATGCGTAATTAATGAATTAAGGAATCACATTTTTGCATTATAATAAGTTATACGATAGAAAGTTATTTTATACATCAATTTTTTGTAGTTATGTAAACAATTATTTTTCAAGAATTATCGATTCAAATTATGAAATAATATCATTAAAAAGAATTAATGAAACGCGATATAAAGCAGAGTTTTGAAGTAGAATTTGAAAGATGTATTTTTTTTAACATCAAGCTGACACGTCGTTTTATTTGCGATTTATAATTGTGGGGCGTTAAGAGTTTTATAAGCGGAATATCTTTGCTATTGAAGAGATGCAAGAGTGGCAATTTAAATTCCTCTCATTTTTTTACGGCCTTTAATTTCCATGAATGTATATATAAACGCTACTTGACCGAGAGATTTTCATGCTATTCACGTAAGTATGATGTTATTTACATCATCATCGATACCATACTTCTAAAGAGTTTTATCGTGAACCTGTTTTGTAAACAGTCTGCAATCTCATAATAACAGAATTAAAGTTTCAAATAGATCTTTCTTGAATAAAATTAAATTTTTATTTAATTCTCATTTTAATGTATTTAGTTTCAATGTATTTGCAAACATTTCATGTTTCAATCTCTGTTTAACTTATCACACATAATATTATAAAATAATATAAAAATTAATATATATGTGTGTGTATATATATATGTATATATATATATATATGTATATATATATATATATATATAACATTTCATAATTTAATTTATTTTATAAGTATCAGATTAATATTGGTTTTATGTTAATATCGGATATTACACTTTTGTACAAGATAATAAAGATTGTCGATTTGCTGAAGAATTAATTATTGCTCTGCATAGTGTCATACTTGTGCAAATGATCGATCGTGGATAATTTTCGATAAGATGTGTTGCTCATAGGACTTCCCGCATTCCGTTTTGTAGAGTTACCATAGTACTTATTAAGTACTTTGTACTATTAAGTACTTCGAATGCAATCTACTTGTACGAACTATAATTAATTTCATTATCGACGCTCGCTTTTTATCCTTTTTTTTGTAACCAGTCCAAGCTTTCGTCGTTTATTTCATTTTCCAAATGCATTTTCTTTCGAAAGTGCTTTTTTTATCTTTTAATTACTTCGAGCGACTTGTCGACGAAATAATTTGTTCGTTATATGGTTATATGTCTCTCTCTCTCTCTCTCTCTCTCTCTCTTTATGCGTGTGTCTTGACAAATTGCATCCATCACTTTTTTTATTATGGGCTTTATGTTCCCGT